GGCCCGGGCAGCAACTGGTAGCCAATGTAACTTATACAGAATCGGCTTGATATGTTCCCTAGCAGCCCCACCACCCACCAGCCACGCAGCTCGATTCTGGACCAGCTGCAGTCGCCGGACCGTCTTCAAAGGCAGCCCCATGTAGAGCGCATTGCAGTAATCTATGAGAGATGTTACCAGTGCGTTTGTAACTGTCATGAGACTCTGCTCGTCCAGGTAGGGCCGTAGCTGGTATAATTTCCGCAGCTGAAGGAAGGTGCCTCTGGCCACCGAGTCCACCTGTGCTTCCAGTGTTAGACTGGGGTCCAGGAGCACCCCCAAGCTGCAGACCCTGTCTCTTAGGGGGAGTGTAACCCCATTCAGGGCAGGGAAATGGCCCTCCAACCTGTCCGTCTTGTCTGGATTGAGTTTCAATTTATTAACCCTCATCCAGTCCGTTATCAGGTCCAGACACGAGTTCAGCACAGAAACCATCTCACCTGGATTGGTGGAAAATGAGAGGTAGAGCTGAGTATCATCAGCATATTGCTGACTCCTCAGCCCAAACCTCCTGATGACCTCTCCAGTGGTTTCATGTAGATGTTAAACAGCATATTATATTATATTACCTATACAGTGGTGCCTCGCATAACGAGTGCACTGTTTAACGACGAATCCACATAGCAATCTATTTTTTGCAATCGCTAATGCCGAGGCAGCTATAGAGGATCTTCGCTGAATGGTGAGTTTTCGCCCCATAGGAACGCATTAAATAAAGTTTAATGCGTTCCTATGGGGTTTTCCTATCCATTTAGCAATGTTTCCGGATAGCGACGATTAATCCGGAACGGATTAACGTCGCTATGCGGGGCACCACTGTATTATATTATATTACCATATAAAAACTCATATTATATTATATTACCTGCAACCACTTTGTAGATATTCTCTATTCGGCCAGTATATAAACAGAATCTACCAATCAAATCAAGTAACAATCAATCAATGGGTCATGTCATCATTTGAGACACCCACATGTTTACTACTCAGTTCTCCTATCTTCAGTGGTTTTGAAATTAGAAGATTTATTTATAACTTGTGTCTACATCACAAATGCTCAGCTTTATAGAGGCATGCAGAGAAAACATGTTTCTGAGACTATTTTCTTTTTCAACAGGAGGGTCAGGGCCTCTTTGGAGCATAGGATCAGGCAATATCCTTGATCAGTAAATAAGCATCTTCTCAACCAAATTTATCTCCACTCAGAAATAAGGCAGATGGAATGTCATTCTTGTGAGCCTGGAGGCATATTATAAAAGGTCACAATGATGCCCTCCAAACCTTTAACAGTGAACACTTCTTAATTCAGTTGGGGTCAGAAGTCCAGTTTGCTCAGCAAGAATAATGCTATTAAAAGCTATTGCACTTTCATGTCATCACAATTCACACTCAAGCATTGTAGGTTAATGCAGTTCTATGAAGTGAACACTGAAGCCAAGACAAGTAGCTATCTCAGCCATGGTATTTACAGATACTAGACATTAGGGATGCTTTTCTGGAAAACAATGGAAACAATCTGTCCACTACAGATAAAAGCCGTCGATGGTGCCTTGATTTTAACAAAAATCATTATCAAATTCCCATTCCAAGCCAAGTCTGATCTCTTAAGTCATTTTCAGGAACTTTCTGCTTCTTTTTCAAATAACAGATTGCATTCTTCAAACTGTCCCTTATTTTAATCGGCCTTATGCATTATTATACCATCAATTTTATTTCAGACAATTGCCAGTTCGAAAGTAATTATCACGAAGTCCTCAAATAACTTAAAATAAAATATTCAAATGCTAGCAAACCTACTGCCGTAGTAAGAGCTTTTGTCTTGACAATAAAATAATTATCCAAATGTAAAAGTTAAACAAACAAAAATTCTAAAATTAAAATACAGTTTGTCCACATCTTTAACAGCAGCAGAATATTATTGTAAAATAGTTCTAGTATTGCACAATTTCTCCCTTTAATTATTTTGCTATTCTACAAACAACATCATTTTTTAATTAAGGCATTACATCTCTAAAATCCAGTCAACCTTATTCAGGTCATCACGTCAGTACATATGATAATTGAGCAAATATTTACAAAGACAAAAACAAAGTGATTGTTAATATATATATTTTTTAACAAACCGGTGGCTAAAATCAGTGAAAGCATGTAAAGGAAACTGTCTAAGGAGTTCCCTTCAGCTCTAACATACCCTTCAATACACAATCCAAACAATATTAACTAAAAAGTAAAATCAACTATCTTACCTTCTTCAGTTTCATGCCATACAATTCCTTCCAAATTCACGCTAGTCCCAGGTTCACATGGTCCAAGGCATTCAGGTTCTGTTACTATTCCAACATCACAAGTATTCACACCCACTGAACGAGTCCGTACCAAAAGTTGCTCAGCTGGGGCTGCAATGTTGGATGAAGATGGAGAAAAGTAGGAAGGCAGAATCTGTGGTGTGAGACTACTAGAAATAGGAGGTGGAGGTGCAGGCACTGTAAAGAGGGGGTCAACCTAGAAGAAAAAGAAACAAAATAATCTGTTATGATGAAAAACATTAGGGAAGCTTGCTTTAGACCTACCATCAGCATTTGAACATAATGGACAGAATCTATGTACCAACTTTGTCTTGGCTGAGTGAAATGGTGTAAGCTGCAGCAGCAAAAATGCTCTAATTAATGTATTGACTATATTCCTTGGCACATGCCTGATTGTGCAATCTGATGCACATCCAGCAGTGCAACCAGCACCTTGTTATTTAGCAGCACCTTGCCACCATGGATTATGCTATTTCCCTTATGCAAGTGCAAAATGTAAACTGGATTCTGGCCACTGAGTGTACCGAGAACAGACCAAAAAACTCACTTCTATAAACAAACTGTCTGTCAAGACTAAGTAAGTAAGTACGTAAGTAAGTAAGTAAGCAAGTAAGACAGACAGACAGACAGACAATATTTTTATGCTATCCTTAGTAAAATTTGCTCAGTATATTTTGGGCAAATATCTTCATTTCTATGACACTTAATAAAACCAGTAGGAACAATGGATTGCAATGCTGCCAGCTTCAGATAGTACCGGTCTGCTTTAATAACTTACCTAATTACTGCCTTTCTGAACATTTCAAATCCCCTCATTTTAATATTTCTCCAAAACCTTTTCAGTTGCTCAGTAATATACAATAAATAAAAATGCTTCTTCCCAGTGAAACAGATATGCTGCTTCTTATTTATATCAAAGGAAGAGACTATTTATGCATTGCTCATTTCACTTCTAAACTGATCCAAGTCAAAAGCATGGAACTCTTTATCTGGCTGCCAAAAATCTTTCTTTGAAAGCCATAATAAAACTTCGTTAAACACTCTGCTCCCTGTCACTCTTCATTCAGAACAAAAAGTGATACTGAGAGTCCAAATATCAAGAACTACAATGTATGTTCTCATATAAATGACATCCAAGGTCATTTTGGAGTTCCTGCTGACATATGGTATGATAAGAGTTTTGTTGAATAAAGTAGTACATACTACAGACTGAGAAAAATTGTCTGGCATAATTATGTGTTTTTAATTCTAGAATACACTGTGATTATATATAAAATGTAAGCTGGTCCATCATAAAAATGTATTGGTATGACATCATCTGACAGAGGGAGTAGAAAACAAACTGTAGATTCATATTACGGGTCAGATCTAGAGACACCTCCCCTGTTCACATGACAGCCTTCAATATAATGAAGGCTCTCGAGAGTGGAAAAGAACTGGTACAATTTCCAGTCGTTCTCTCTTCCCCTTACAGCTGTTTAATTTTCTTCTGGATGAGGGAGACCCTATGGAAATTTTTGCAAGATTGAACAATGGGATTCAGAGGGGAAGCCTTTACTGATCTGAAAGCCTTTCTATTCACAGTGCACCAACACTGTATCAAGCCATCCATTTATCCACTTACCCTATCCACACAACTCTTTTGTACAGTATTTCATTCATATGACTACAAAATTCCATGACATTGTAAACCAGTTTCTATCAACAATGTGATCCCAAACGTCAACCTCATTGTATAACAGATATCCATTCCCGTCCACAACTGCCATCATTTGTGTGTTCTTCCCAGATTTCAAACATCACTCATTTAGAGTGTAATGTAGAAAGAGAAATGAGAACAAAACTGCATCTGTTTTTCCATAGGTGCTGTTGTTTTCCCCCTTCCCTTTCACTATTGAAAAATTATCCAGAAAGAGAAAATGGGACAGAGGGAGGCAAACATGGAATCTGTGTACATATGAAGGACATAAATCTTCCCCATGTGTGCCCCATCATCTCCAAAAAAGGAAAAAGAGCCAGGAAGATCTCCAACTAGAATGAAAATACTTCCTTCCCTATCTGAGATCACAAAATCACAGTGCAAAGGGGATCGAAAGGGGATGAAGACAGTTGCCAAGCTTTAGAAAAAGAGTTACTTTCACACAAAGCACATTTTTACATGTCACGGTAAGCCACAAGTTGTGTTAGCTATGGTTTGTTCTCTAAGCCATGTGGATAGAACACAGCAGATGATCCAACAAATCACTGCCTTTACTCTCTATTTCTAGCTTGTATCTAGTTTTTCTTTATCCTATTCCTTTTGTTAGCTACATAAGTGATTTGTGACTACAACAGGAGTGATACACTAAACCTACATCCATGTCAGACCCCAGTTAACTTGGTTTTCAACTTGGGCAGCTAAGAAAACAAGCCGGAAAACAAATCAGAATTTTGAGCTTCTGCATAACAAAAAGCCACAATTTAAACAAGTCAGAGTTCATTGATAAGAAGTGAATTATGAGTTCAGATTGTGGTGTGTGGCTGGTTTTCACATGAAAGCAAAACCAATTTCAACAGACTACGCTATGATGGACAGAGTCCTCTAGCACAGTGGTTCTTAAACATGGGTTCCCAAATTTTCTTGGACTGTAACTCCCAGAAATCCTGGCCAGCACAGCTAGTGGTGAAGTTTTCTGGGAATTGCAGTCCAAGAACATCTGGGCACCCCAGTTTGAGAACCACTGCTCTAGAAGTGGGACAAAGTACTTTGTAAGATGACACAAGACATACATAGATACAACTGATGTATGGGAACTCTAAATGTAAATGAACAAAATACACAAACAACTGGAATATAAATTAAAATTGTGTATCACTGCACTACAAACAATCCTTCAAAGACAAAAATGCTCTATGCAGGTAAATCTCCAGGCAATCAGCTGACAAAAAAGTGGGGGGAAAACACAACAGAGTACAGAAGCTCTGCAGTTCTGTTATGTGTTTATCCTGCTGCCATCACACTTTAAGATGTTGGCAGCATTAAAAACAAAAAGGAGCTTTTCAACAAGAAGCCAAGCATACAGGCAAATGTAAAACCATCTGACCTCAAAAACAGATGTTCCTTGCAAACCAGTCGTCTGTTAAGTAAGGATGAAATAAAACAATATTTATCTTTGAACTACATTCAAGACACAGCGCCAGAGTTTGCACTACAAGAGTTTTGGCCGTCATTGCAAAGATTTCTCAAAACAGAGGCCTTCTAGCTTTCTTTTCCTGCTTCCGGAGTAATGCAAATAGAGTTTATTCCAGTACTTTCTAAAAACAGTCTTCCAGATGTGGTGACACAGCATTAGCTCAATGTAAAAGGGTCATCTGAAATTATTTTAAACTGTTCTTAATTCAGGTTGAATAAGTAGTGTAATGATTAGAACAAGAATTCAAGAGAAGCGGTTGTGTGATGCTAGGCCTCCTCTTTTGTGGGGCTTTGAGGAGAAGCCTAGGAGACCCATGGATTTACCAGCATATCCTTTTGAGATCACACACAGTTTTTCCCTATCCAAAATAAAAACTAGTTAACAAACAGTTTTAGGTACTTTAAGAAAATGCTGAAATATTTGATGAAAAAAGTGTCATTTTTCACCTTTAAACAAGGCACTTCTTTTGTCTGAGAACAAATCAGCACTTCTAGAAATCTCCCAGAAGCATTAATTTTTATCCTGAGGAGGATGCTGGCTCCCCCACATATCCTTTTTAATGCAGACTTATTTAAAAGTCAGCTCAGAGCTTTTGGGCTGTTCCTATGCTGTTCTCCCATATACTGATGGTGCATTTCACCAAATGTCCCACTGTTTCTAAACAAATGGAAACCTTGTTATTTTAGGTACGAATGGTTGGTGACAAGATGAATCATCACTGATATGATACATTTTGCTTACATCTTTTCTTAGCTTATAACAGGCAATAAGAGTATGTGGATGAATTTTCAAAGGGTACTGTGAATATGAAATACTGCCACACTGCACAAAGGATTAGACTGGATCGTCTCAACTCCTTAGAGCAGAGGTCCCCAATCCCCGGTCTGCTGCCGGTCCATGGCCTGAGCCGGACTGGGCCGCCGAGACAGATATCCTGCCCCACTCCCCGCATGCACTCACCCCCCGCACAGCTCATTTGCGCCTGCAAGCGCACTCCAGCACGCCCATGAGAGTGCCACACCACTGTTTGTGCATGAACGCCCAGAGAAGTGCTGCACCATTTGCATGCATGATCATGCGCATGTGCAAATTGCAGTGTGGCACTCGCATGAGAGAGCATGCACATTTGTTTGCACATGTGCACAAGCGCAGGGGGTGCCCCGCCTTCCGCAGCTGGTCCGCAGACCGAAAAAGGTTGGGGACTGCTGCCTTAGAGGCTACAATACTATTATTTTAAATGGGAAGAATAAGACTCTGCCTTATTTGGCAGCTGAGAACTTGTAAATATGGAATAGGACTTGCACTTGCACTATCCCCTTGTTGACAAGGGAAGATCTGCAGTGGAAAAACCACAACACAGAGACAATATTATGAAGCCTGATGCATCCAGGCTGTTGATTGTGTTGCTATTACATTCATGGAACACAGCCTTCTCTTCTGATCAACACTGGGAAGTTGTGACTGGAGTGAGTCAGCTGGAGTGTGCAACTCCATTGTCCTCTTAGCTTACATATTTTGAATACTGAAAATGGGCTAGAGACACAGCATGTACAGTCGTGCCCTGCTTTACGATTACCCCATTTTACGACAAATCCGCTTCATGATGACGTTTCTGCGATCTCAAAACAATGGTCTAAACAGGTGTGTGTGTTTTTTTGCTTTGTGATGATCGGTTCCCTGCTTCGGGAACTGATTCTTGGCAAAACAATGTTTTTTTAACAGCTGACTGGTGGTTTCAAAATGGCCGCTGGGTAATTAAAATGGCTCCCCACTGTGTTTAGGGACGGATTCCTCGCTATACAGGTAGTGAAAATGGCCGCCGTATGGAGGATCTTTGCTGGATTGTGAGTTTTTAGCCCATTGGAATGCATCGAACGGTTTTCAATGCGTTTCAATGGGCTTTTTATTTTCACTTTACGATGTTTTCGCTTAACAGCGATTTGCCTGGAACGGATTCTCGCCATTAAGCGAGGCACCACTTTATAGCAGAAATCGGATTCTATTTCAGATGTGCATTCAAATG